AACGCCATTTAATGTGGAGGGAGAGTCTAATAAGGGAGATAAGTTCATAAGAAAGAAATGTCAAGATGTCAGGTAATATTTCTTACCAAATTGTGGTGATAAGTTTAATTAGCTAAAAAACATAAAATGTAACAACTATTTAAGTCATCACTTTTCTTTTGTCAATATCTTAGAAAGTTACTAATAATGTTTAATCTGAAAGATTTTAAATCAGTTTTGAACTTTAACAATTGAGATATTTCAATCTCTTAATCAGCAATTAAAAAAAAATCAGTATCTTTTTTTATATATCCCAGTCATAGATTTTTTCATTTGTATTAATTTTCCCTAAAACAATTAGAGGAGATAATTGAGGAATGCATTTTTTTTAAATACAGATAACAATTTTATGTTGTAACTTCGCACAACGACCCATTGTGTTTTCTAATATTAATTTAATATGCATGTCATTAAAAATTACTTTTATATACTGTATATACTTCATATTTTTTATGTTACTTTTTTTGTAATAAATTATTGTTATTTAAATTCTCTGAGTCAAATTTTCTTCAAATCATTTTTAGACATAATTTTTGTTCTAAAAAGTAAGCAAGGCGTCATATTACTTTTGAATCTAATGCTATTGTTGTTGGTGAAAATAAATGTATATATTTTAAAAAAAAAAAAAATGGAGAAATTAATAGCAAAGAGTTACTAAGAAAAAAATCGAATGTGTAAGGATCATTTTTTTTAATTTTATGTTTTTATCAAAGAGGTTTATTTGGTTTCTCGTAGAACATTTTAATGAAATATGAAGATAACGAACAGTTATCAAGCTCAATTGTCCATTGAAACAATATGAATTTTGAACAGAACAAACGCAGACCTATTAATACATAAGTGGTTCACTGGCTTAACTAAACATTTTGCAATTTTTTTGCCCTTTAAGTTGTTGTACTGAAATTGAATTTCTATATATACGTATGATCTAGAGACGGATTTTCCATGTTTACGTTCAAGATGGATCCGAGAGACTATGGTGAGTGTCTTTTTCTTTTAAAATTTCTCGTAAAATTAAGGAGCTGGTAATTTGACAAAAAAGGAGCATAAAAGTCTTGCTGCGTACTTCACATCTACTGTTAGATATATGGATTACGTTTTATCAATCTACAATACTTATTTTCATTCATATTTTGTCTCCAAATATCCCAAATGCACTCGAAATAAAAGACACCAGAGAGCTCACCTCATCTATTTCATTTGTGAAGGTTTTCCTGACTAAAGAGGAAAATTGCCGACTAAAAACTAAAGCACAATATAAAGTTTCCTTTTAACGTCTGTGTTGCATTTCTGTGCAGGACTGTTAAGGCGTACTACGAAGAAATCAACGGAATATAAATCTGCATAAATACATACCTTTTTAAGCTGAATTTATTTTTGTAAAGCTACTACATTATCACATGACTTTAATTTTAATTGAAATAACATTGTATACCCCTGTCTGTACGGAATTTGGTTTGGTCACGTTACTTGACAGTCACGTGATAAATGCATGTAATGTGTACTGTATGTAGGTCATAAACAAATTTCAATATCGCAAGGGCATATCTTATTTAGAATAAAATATTTCATTAATAAATTGTATCTATTTAATTTGTAGTTTATGAAAAGTGCTGCTGCTTTAAATAGAATTAGCATTTATTAGTTTAAATTTCAAGTTATTTCACTCTATTCGAAATATGTGTGACCTTTACCATGTGTTTCATGCTCTCGATTTCAGGAAAGCAGCAGCACTTTTCAAGTTAAGGAATGTTTCTGTTATGCATATTCAAAAAATGGTCAAGCTCTATTAAGTGTATGCCCTTGCGAAAAGGCGATTTAATGAGGCACACCCTGTACACAAAAACACGGTAGAATTAATTCAATACATTCTCCCGATAGTTTTTAAATGATGACACTAAACATAGGTTTCAGATTTGTATTAATTGTCTACCTAAGATTTGCAAATAATATTCTGTTCAATAGTAAAATGCGTTTTTCACTGTGGAAAAATTGCATGATCCGCCTTTCACTGCACATAAAACACTGTAAAATGCGTCAAATTTTACCATAATGACGTCATGTTGACAAGTGCATTGCGATCAGTGACTTGATTATATCTTGCTGTGTGGGATTTAACTAGCGACAGAAATGAATGCAGTGGTAAGTTTTAATGTAATTCATCACTCTTATGGAGTTTAAAACCGCAAATTCTTTCATTTTCTGTTGTTTTAAGGAATTGCTATATTTTTGTGATGTCACAGTAGATATTTTCTATATAAATAAGACCCCACCCCCTTTATGCAGCCTTAACAGAGCTGCGATTGAGTAGCTTCTTGCATGTCCCTATGTAAAACAAACTTGAAATTCTCGCAAAAAGGGGCTTTATCCTAAAAGATATCCACATAGATAAATCCAATGGGCATAAATCGGGGACATGTCAAACATTTCCATTGGAGAAATTCTTTAACTCGTTGATTTGATTCATCAATGTAATTATAGTTTGATAACGTCTTCACGTTCCGAAAACGCTTTCTAATATTTTTATAGGAAAATGAAAAGGATAGTCAAAGCCGTCAATGTATAAATGGAATATGTACTATTATTGACGATAATGTTATTGAGAATCAAAGTAGAATCACATATTTTGAAACAACCTGTATTTCAAAAATCTACATGTACACTTGTCAAATAAAAATGAAATAGTAATGCATTTTTCTCATTTCGTGGATACTTTGTACTAAGAATGTTTGTATACATAATTATATTATATAAAATCATTAAAAATATACTGCTCCCTAGAATTTATGATGAATTGATTTTTTTAATCTTTTCTCTCTCTCTAAAGTGAAAACAAATTATGATCGCAATAAATCATTCTAGTCAGACCTTGTGCATCCGGATCTCATTCATACCCTATCTTTTATCAAAATCTATTAGGGATAAAGTAATAGAAATCAATACAAAAAAAGAGATAAAATGGCCGTTTTAAAGCCTGTTATTCTTTAAAGAACATTGTATAAAAGTCTGAATAAATAATTTGATTATGAATCCTTTGACAACCAGTCCATTATCAAACTTTTATGCAAAACATTATCATTATATAATAGTGATGACAGTACGAATAGCGACAATGGCTTACATAAGTCTTTTTGAAAAAAAGTAATACAAAAACCCGTTTTCGATCAGGAAGTCAATTATTTATCTGAATGGGAAAGGCTTTAAGGATTGATTTAATTGTATGTTATTAATAATCCTCACAGTTTAGAAATTTCGACTAGGAAATTAATCTAAGATTATGGTGCATTGTCTGTTGCATGGTAAGTGCGATGTGACCCCCTCCCCCCTTCCTTAAACATTTACATGTAGATACTTAGAAATGAATGATACTACAACTAATAACAAGTGTTAAACCAAACATGTTATTATTTACAAAAGGTAAATCATACTGCGAATTTGAAATCACAAGATTTTACCAAAATCAACAGCTTAAAAACTTACGACTTTTCAACTTTATACACAACCATTCCCCACGATAAATTAAAGTCATGGCTTTTTGATATCATTGACAGCTGCTTTTTCAATAAAAATGGAACTCGTAAATTTACTTAACTTGTCATTGGTCATTTGCAAAATTATTTTGTTAAAAACATTCTGATTGTACACACAAGTACTTTGAAGTTGACATTAAAAAGATGCTTGAGTTTCTGATTGACAATATCTATGTGGTTTTTGGAGACCAGGTCTTCCAACAATCTATTGGAATTATCATTCGTACCAATTGCGCCCCTTATTAGCAGACCTTTTTTTTGTATTCATATGAAGCAGAATTCGTCCAAAATCTTGTATGTGAAAAGAAGAAAACACTTGCTGTGGCCTTCAACTCGACATTTAGATATATCGACGACGTATTGTCAATTAAAAATAAATGGCTATTTCATTCTTATGTCGATACGATATATCCCGGTGAGCTTGAGATAAAAGATACCACAGATTCTGACACATCTGTTTGATATTTTGATATTTTACTTCAAAAAGACATTAATGGTAATTTAACAGCCAAGATTTATGATATACGTGATGACTTTAACTTTTCAATCGTCAACTTCCCTTACTTATGCAGCAATATACCTTCATCACCTGCATACGGGGTATATCTCTCTCAGTTGATTCGATACGCAAGAGCATGCTCTACGTATGTACAATTTCTAAAACAAGGTAAATTATTGACAAACAAGTTGATGAAACAAGAATATCAGTTGTCTCGTTTAAAGTCATCATTTCGTAAGTTCTATGGTCGATACAATGACCTTGTCAGCAAATACAATTTATCATTGAGTCAAATGCTGACTGACGTTTTTCATACTAATTGTTAGGCCATTATTTACACACTGAATTGTCGACGGATTTTTCCGTTATTTCCCGATCGTGACAAGGATCACACAGAGGGTGTGACCGGTCGGCAGGGGATGCTCACTCCTCCATGGCACCTGATCCCACCTCTGATGTTTGGAGATCCGTGTTTGCTCTGCTCCTATTTTGTATTGTTTAATGGACTTTTGAGCTCGATTACTGTTCGTTATCTCCATATATTTCATTACAAAAGGTAAATCATACATCGAATATCAATGAAAATAAGAAATTCTGGTAGGTCAAACATCAAAACTTCCATCTATATATGAGTTATTATTGCTGTTAATCGTATGAAGTATCATAAAACGTGCATTGAAACCCTTTATAGAAGTTCAGAGTCAATGTACAGTTTTCATAGATCCATCCTTAATTTTTCAACATTTCTAGGGTTATATCAATACATGAAATAGATGATCATGATACACGTGCGATGTTTTGCACACAATGTCAATAGTCTTATTGACATAGTTATCGATAGTAAATCTAAGCACATGTAATTAATTGGTTTGCAATTACGGGTAAGTGTGAAAACAGGGTGTTTGTCTCAGTTCACTCTTGCGTCCAGATTAATATGTTCTTTTGAAAATGCCTTTTCAAACTTGCTTTCATTTCATTTGCTAGTTTCTATTTCTGACTTTCTTCAGAAAGGTAAAATAAAGATCATTCTTTTCATGCAACGCAAATCTGATTTGAAAACAATCATGATGTTTAGAATAGTCACACCATTTATCTTGTGGGAAGCAAAGTATGTTTGAATTTTAGAAACCAGTTTCTCAGGTATCCGTTGAATCAAGGAAACACTCGATAGATTTCACACACGTAGTGATGCTCTGAAGAGGGAGAAGAGTCAAAACAGGAGAAGTTGTGATAAACATACGACGTTAAATGGATCTTTCCTGATATATTAGATTCAAAGAGGGGACATATAACGGGCATCAGTGTTCTATCATGAAATATCCATTGGTCGTTGATCTCTACTCCCTGTACCCAGATCTGGCTAGAATCATCAGCTGCATAATGTCCTGTCAAAAAGTGAGAGTTGTGTGACCAAACATTTTTGTGCTAAATTACACAAATTCCTTATTGTAGTAGATCACAAAATACATATATTTCCAAATTTTAATGAGCGAAAGTTGTTAAGTCTGAAATTAGATTTTTTTTTTTTTAAATCAACTTTAGCCGGACTCTTTTATGTTGGGTGTTAATTACCTATACTTATCTTTGACAGATACGTGTTTATCTTTAATTAACAAAAGTAATTAAAATTTCCAGAATTGTCAATTAAAGCACCTAATATTTATCATCATTTCTTAAGCATATACAGGTTTAATTGAAAATTAAGCTATGAACATTACATTGTGAAAATAATAATACATAAATATATAAAAGTTGATACTGTAAATCTGTAGCCTGGATTTTAAAAGGAAAAAGATTCATACCTATGTGTCCTTTAAAGATATCGTATTTTTGAAAGGAATCGATTCTGACTAGATCTCCGCCGTCTTGCTGGCACCTTGAAACAGCTTCTGTATAATTAGCTGATATCGATATGTATCTTAGACAAATATTGAAATGTGTGTAGTCATAGACGGCATATGCAGAGGGACAGTGAGCTGTAATATAAAAATAGTATAATTGACCAGACTTGTTTTTTCACAGTATGTTTTTCATAGTAGTAAGTTAACTTACAATTTTTTTTCTGGTATTTACAGAGACTATGATAGTCAAATTTTGTGATTAATCTCTTAATTCATACCAGCTGTATGGAGAAATGCAATTAAAAAGTTATTCTTCAGATGGCGCGTTGAATCACAATGATTGCATATCCTGGGTCATTAAAACAAATACACAATAGATTCAATCCTAAAATAGTTTTCTTGATATTATTGTGACAAATTTAGTATCAAAAAGACTGGCAAGGGTAAAAACATTGAGACTCCAACAAATATTTTGGGGAAAATTTGAAACTTTTATCCATTTCTCACCTTTACTCCTGTTAAATGTATTTTTTTTTGGTCCGATTTACCGTAATTGAAATTTTACCTATTTTGTAAAGAGTCTAACGTGATTGAAAATTGTAAGCATATCGGCGAAATCCTTAGGTCAGTGTACGTTTATCATCAGTGTCTTATTCCAGCTTTTAAAATGTAATTTCCCCCAGTATTACAAAATATAATTTTTTCTTCATTTCAGAAAAGCTTAAAGCAGTTTCCCAGTAGTCAAATACATTCCCTAATATACTGATAATAATTTTTCTTCTTTGCTATAAATTTGGAGTAAAGGAAAGCTTGACATCCCACAAAAGGGGAATACTTATGATAAAGATCTTTCAAACCTTTTTGATGCCAACTTGATCTTTAGTTATATTGAATTGGCTTCATTATGTAACAGAAGGTTAAAAACTCTATCATCATTTATAATCTTGTGAGGCTGTCAACAGTTGCAAGAAATTTTTCGTTACTTTTCCTGCCATTTTTATTCTATTATTCTTTCTCCTTTGAAATATTTCATCAGCATTTGTTATATTTATCAAAATGTTGTAATGGCACATGCATAACCGCCTAACCTAGAAAAAAAAATTCTAAATATTACTGGTTTTTTTTTTCATGTACATTAAATTAGAATGTCCTGCGTTTGAAAAATGTTAACTTATTTCTAGTATTGTCAGTACCTGCATGGTTAATCGAATTATTGCAATCGATACGAATATCCCTAGTAAAATTGCTATTCAGTTACTCAAATATATAGACAAAAGTAGACAAAAGTGGAAGGTATGTTTTATTTTGTTTTCACTGAATACATGAACTTTGAAAATGAACACATTTTATTTACTGTAAGTTAATATTTGACTTGATTAATGTTTCTAAAATACGACCGATTTATTTTGAATACTCTTAGTTTTCGCTGTTTATCTAATTTTTGGCTCTGATTGCCAAGAAATAAAGGCGTTAGAAGATCTCAGTTGATCCTCATTATCTTACTGAAACTGAGCTAGCCAATGTAGAATTTAGCAAGTCACAGCCATCAAAAATACTATAAATCCAAAAGATGTTGAACAAGTGAAATTGAATTAGCATACACGGAAACATAACTCTGAAAACATCGATATATAGAATATCCTGCAAAAACAGCCAAGCATAGCTATATAAAAGAGATAAATATTTTTTTTTAAAAAAGTGCTTATACGGTGCAAATGCTTTTATATAGGCCTGTATATAAATGATATATTTTGAAATTGTTGCGATGCTACATTTATTACAGTCACAATTGTAATACCTCCAGCAAGGATTTTTAGATGTCTTAAAAACCATAGTAGTAACCGTTTACTCATCGTAATATTAACCAAATATCCAATTACTAAAAATCACCCAATTTGACAATGCAACTTACGTCCCTTTTTTGGTTTGAATTGTTAAGCACAGAAAATTTAATACTCACGAGGCATATAAGACTTCCAGCTTAAATCACTTAAAACACTCCCAGGGGTATCTAGACAACACATGCAACGTCTCTTTAACACGTTATGACTAAACATGTAAAATTTATGCAGTGTTTCTAAGCACTTAGAAAAACAATGCAGTCCGTTTCTTATAGAGTTGAACTCTACACAAGACGTTGTTGGAAAATCGAAAACCTTAACTGCATAATTATAGTGCATGACCTTCAACACTGATGTTTTTAAAACAATTCCTAAACTCATAGAGCAGATGAAACATAATTTCCAAAACATGCTCATCTCGTTCAGTATTTCTTGCTACTTTCACGATTCAATGTTCTCCTTGACCTCCCCTTACTCAAATATTTACCTATCTATGGATTAATATGGGATCTCCATATCAAAATTTCATTTCAGTGCATATCCTTTAATTATGCAGATTAACCATATTTAATTGGCAATATTGACACTTCGGCAAATAAAGTTAGCCTAAAAATTGCTTAAGTCCAATTACGAAGGGAAAGTTTTACATGATAGTTAGTGCTCAAGTACTTATTTATGCATATAAAAATTATTGTTTTTCCGTCGTTTGAGTACTGTATATTCCAATTTATTTTTCGTCAGTGCGGGTTCAGTCAATAAAGTCAATAAAGTTTACATTGATGACAGGATATCATATCAATATAAACTATTTATGTTTACCGGTAGATGTTTAAATAAGTCACAAAACAATTTTTGACTTTGATTACGAATGAGAATCTCTATTAAAAAAATCTTCATTATATTTGATAGTGATTGTAAGAACTAACTTTTAATCTTTAAACTTCCGTATCTTTTTCGATACCCGATAATTCTAAGAGAAATCCTCAAATATGTTACAGGTTAAATCATTAATATGTTGTTATCGTTAATTAGGACTCTTACATTACCCTTGAATCACCCGCGAAGCGCAGTTGTTAGAGCATTTGCTCTAGAGTACGGATGTTTGATCCTTACCTCACGGGTTCGAATCCCACTGCAGGGACGTGGAGATCCGTCCTTCTGGTCCTAAACCGAGGTCCCTTGTCGTATTAGGTGCTGGTACGAAAAAGATCCCTCACTGCCCAATGGTCATGGGTGCCGAGTATTGGACAGAATTTGCAGTCCTCCACCGGCAAGTTGTGGAGTTTCAGTTTGAGTGAAAAATTCTTGAGAGGGATGTTAAATAAAAAAAAACCCAAACAAACAGGCATTACCATCAAATGTATCTTGATACAAATATACGACAGCAACAGTTGTTTAGGTAATGAGCAGAAAGGATCGCTAAACTTAACGCCAGCTTTTGGGCCTTTTTCGATTCCCTCTGTTGCTTCTGTATCTTAACCTTATTTTACTTTTGTATATTTATGAAAGAATCCTGTCAATGTTGAACCAAATTCCAATGTTAAAATTATTTTAGACTGTGATACCTGTACAATAAAATTATTCGTGTTTTTTTTTTTTTTTTTTTTTTTTTTTTTTTTTTTGCTTTACACTTAACTGCCCTGGAGTGAACATTAGGTATGCATGAGAGGTGGAGCTGATATTGTAAGAGTTGTTATAAAAATTAGATTATATAAATAACAATGACATGTATGAATAACGTGATCAGTCTTTCCTCTCGATTTTCTGTGGCACAAGAAAATTACTGAAAGATGTTTCAAAACCAAATTAACAAAGTAAGCATGTTTGTGTAATAAAAGAAGATTTTAGATCAATTCCAAAAGATTTAATGTTTTTGAACACAATGACCTAGTTAACACAAATCATGCTACCTTACAAGTTACGTGACGCAATTTAGTTTTCAGAAAGCTACCAGAGGTAAGAAATCACGTGGTGGATAAGAATGTTCAATATGTCACAACCATTGGTTACAAAGGAGAGAGCGAATGTAAAAGGAAGAAGCAGCTTTTTCTCTTTTTTTTAATCATGAGCTCATGTTCGTCTGTCAATCTCCTTTTGACAGGTTGTTATTAATACAAATATACAACAATTGTGAAATGGAGAACAATAGACAAACTTGTACTTACTATGTATGAAGTTAGTAAAAATATTGGCGTCCTCATTATAGAACGGAGAGTCAAGTAATAGTGATGACCTTTGCCTTTGGAAACAGTTTCGAGCTTCGTAAATAAACTTTTATTTTATTTATTTACATACAATTTCGATTTGGATGTAGACCATCCTTGCAATAAAAAAAAAAATTGGTATTTTTGAAAGTTTATTCTGTCGCATGTCCTTAAGTGCAGTCGTCCTTTACGAATAAAATCAGAAAAAATGACATCGCATCCAAGTTATTTTTATTGACCTTTTTAGCATCTGCAAATAATATTTGTTCAATTATTAAAATACAATCTTGGGGGTATATGCCAGAAACCCTATAATAAAATGAAATAGATGAGCTCACTAATTACACCTTCATGTAATATTATTTTCTTTGTTTCCAAAGAAATACCTTAGTTAAGAGATGATCCTTAAGTCATAATCACAATATCTTTAAGCTGGTTTTAAAGAGCAAATATTATTCAGATTAATTTCATATCGCCAGTTATAAATGCACATTAGTTTATATCTCAAGTAGGCGAATAAAATTAAAATGCACAAATAGGAGGCCCGCGGGCCCTATCGCTCACCCGATGACACTGACTAGGAAGAAACAGAAATCAGTTCAGTACTGATCGAGGAGGGGGCAATCTTTGAATTTAAACTACCTCAGAATGCTTCCATATCAATGAAAAAGGTAAAGACATCAAACACTGATCGATCTAAAAAAAATCCAAAAGAATACAAATACATGTATATGAATAGAACATAAAACAAGGACCCCTTGAATTTTCAGAGGTGGGACCAGGTGCCTAGAAGATGTAAACATCCCTTGTTGACCGGTCACACTCGCCTTAAGCCCTATGTATTGGTCAGGTTGACGGAACTTTCTGTAGTAAATTCAGTACGCGGCTATGTTAAGGCTGTCCGAAGGCTTAAAATGCATTAAAATACACAATTTATTTAGAGGTAGATTTTATTTTCAATACGTTATCTATGGTGAATTCGCAGTCAACTTGTAATAAGAGTTCAATCAGATATAATAATAATAAACCAATTTTTGTGATGTCACATGACTTTGTTGATCACGTGACGGACACTTATGAATTCTTAAATGTTGAACAAAAATCGCACCGGCACAAGTGCAAAACAAAATTATTGTGAAACGTTTGTTACATAAGACAATTCATCGTGATTTCATGTACATATAAAGTGCCGGGGGCAAGTCTGAATTTTACTTCTTAAAAAAATATGTCACGAAACATTCAACTTACCCACAAAAGAGGGGGCATTTTCCACATTTTATCACAAATGGTACAAAAAAGGATAAATTACATACAATCCCACAGCAAAACTCAGTTAGAGGGCATACTTCTTTTGTAGATTCACATGGAATATCTTCAATTTATCTTTATTAATCACTTGTGCCAGTCAAATATATACACGATTCCTAAATTCTAACCCTGTCTACGGACGTGTAATAGGAGCGTTTCACATTCACTTTTTGTATATGTTTGAATATGTGCATATCGGACAAGCGAAAGGAATGACGATATTAAAATGCAAATGTTCAACATTATAACATCTAACTCGAACATTATAACAGCTAACTCGAGCTAAAAAAAAAAAAAAAAAAATCCCGACATTCGAATTTAACAACATTGCAAAAAAAAAAAAAAACTTCCTAATACTCGGGAAGAATGATGTGAAAAATTGTGAAAACTTAAGCTCTCTTTGATACGGTTCTTCTATTGATAAAATATTATATTAATATAATACACATAAAATAATGTTAAATTACGGAATAAAACAACAGCAGACAACCAGTTCCCGCCACTTTTCAAAATAGTTTAAGTGTACCTATCTTCGGCTATCATAAGGTCTGTATATTTTCAATTTCATTGAACCATTAAATATTGTTAAATATATTCAAGAATATACCTTCATTATTTTCTATAATTTTTGCTATATTTACAAGCTACGAGGATAGCTAGACCACGCCTTACGTGCAGAGTAGCCGGGTATCTAACCTAGTGACGTCATCTCAGACTGTACAGAAATATCAAACTGGCTTTCATTCCCCATCAGGATAGTTATTTAATGGCAAGATATGTTGCACATCGATTTTCTCGACATTATTTATGAGAAACAAAAGTATTCTAATGTGTATGAAAAATAATTAGTATTGATGCATTTACATTCAATGTTTTTTTTTTTTTTTTTTTTTTTTTTTTTTTTTTTTTTTTTGAGACTTCATAGTTATTTTCCCGAAATTTTAGAAATCCTGATCTAAATATAGGTGTCCTTAGCAAACCTGTTTGGGATATATCAATTCGATGTATGAACAAAAGTAACTGTTTTTAATGGATAATACATCGTTAATAAAGCCAAATGTCGATGAATGCCTCAGTAAATATTCTACTCATGTAGAACTTTTTTTTGAAAATAAATACTGCTTTGGTAAATTCTACTTCATAAAAATATAAAAACAGATCTGCTAATATAGGAGTAAAATTTATGTTGATGGGTCTGTGGTCTTATATATGTCGAGAACGTTTTATCAATTAACGAAACATTGTAGTTAATGAAATTAACACCAGTGAAGGAAAAATTTCAGGAGTACTGTACAAAAGTATATTTGATAAGTAATGTGAATCAGATGCTGATACGTTCAGAAAATTTGATATTGCATCATTTTAACAAAATCATTAACATCAAAACGTACTCATTTCAACACTTTATACACAACCGAACCCGCGACAAATTAAAGTCCAGGCCTTCTGACATCATAAACAGCTGCTTTGTCAAGAAAAGAAAATCCTAAATAATGAAGTTTTTTACTGCATTTACTGCATTAGTGCTCAACTTTCTTTTCTTTGTGTCAAAGGGAAGTCATTAGTGTGTCAATTGTTATGAAAGTTACAAAAATCCTGACATCTGTAAACTTTCACACACTCTACCTGTCAACCATATGCATGTTTAATTAATCATTCCTTCTAACATCACACATCAATCAAAGTTTGCATGTCATTCTAGCTGTCATTTAGGTCAGGAATGGTCAAATATTGTAAAAATGACTTTATCATTCTTATGTTGATTATCTCAGATAATTAATTGTTTCGGCATTGCTAAAGATGTGTTTAATGTGAAAATTAAATTTTCCTATGTACGTACACTTTTATTAAGTGAATATACATTGTATATATCTTTAAACTCACCAGCAAAAGGTTGTATGCATATACAGGTTAGAGGAATTAGATTATTTCTTTTCTTCAGAAATGAATATATAAAGTAATAGCAAAAAGGTGACAATGCGCACACATCCGATATAGTCTGTGCTTTGAAGTAAGGAGAATCAGTGTTAATTAAAGAAAAGTCATAGTAAATTCCATTTAATAAGCTAAACAATTGTGAAATTGTGAAATTGTTAGGTAAAGTTTCTCTTCTTGCCTTATATATTTTAAAACTTATTACTTCCGTATTTGACAAAGGTAAAGTCACTACCGCCGTCTGCTCTTTGTCATAATCGGAACCCCCCCCCCAAAAAAAAAAAAAAAAAAAACAGTTAATGCACTGGGTAAAAATTTGCCTAACGATTAATATGAGAAAGTCAGTCAGCTTTAGCCTTAATGATAGATTGTATTTGCTGACAAGATCATTGTATCAACCAGAAAACTTGCAAAATGATTACTTCAAACGAGACTGTTGATATCCGTGTTTCATCGACTTGTTTGTAAATAGCTTTCCTCATTTTAGAAATTGTTCATATCAGACCATGCTCTTGCGTTTCGAATCAACTGGGAGACATAAACTCCATAAACAGGGGATAAGATATATTGGTACATAAGGGAAGTTGGCGACTGAAAATCGAAGTCATCCCCTTTATCATAAAACTTTGTTACCATGAACGTCTTTTACTGACCACAGCACGTTATTTTTTTTCTTTTTCTCATGTAGATTGTATAATTCTGCTTCATAGGAACGTACAAACAGATCAACTAACAAAGGAGCCCAATATGTGTCCATTGGCATTCCAACATTCCAAAAACCACATGGATGTTGTCAATAAGGAACAACAGCATTCTTTTTATTATAAACTTCAGAGTGATTTTTATCAAAGTAATTTTGTTTGTGACCGAACCCAAGATATAAAAAGTTCCAATTTTATTTAAAAAAAAAACAGTCATCGATGATATCTATCGTTAAAAGTAGTTGTATAAAGTGTAGAAAAGTCATACGTTCGTATTGATGTTACTTTGAAAAAAAAAATTTAATTTTCTCAAAGTACTTTGGAGTTTTTGAGATTTCACATCTGATTAAAACCACTTCTAGAATATGCTGTAGCACAGTGCCTTTGAAATTTCCTCTTTTCAGCAATATAATTTTCGTGAGGAGTAAAGATACAAAAAAAAATTCTTAAGAACTTTTGATTGCAGATCCAAACTCCTTAAAAATAAAATACACTTCTTTCCATACAATCTAAAGATAAATTTAGTCTTCTAAGAATAAAAGAAATGCTTAAAGTCGACCCTCCCAATACATTAGATTAACTTTTAATATCTAGCCTTTATTGATAAGAGGAATTCTCTATTTCTTATTATCTCCCGAAGTTATATATTTTTTTTACCAATATTCTCCTAGTAGTGTTACAAAGACCCATTGATGTAAATAACGTTTAGAGCTAGTTTAATTTAACATATTTTAGTGAGTAAATTTACGCCATTTTTGTGGATATATATGTGATTATGTTTACAGATGAGCTACCTGATTCTATAGTGCAGTCGACTCTATTTGAACTAATCATTAATTAGACACAGCAATTGAAAATGAGAGCTTTTCTTCGTAGGATGATCCTGATAAATACCCCATAGAAATCAAGACTAAACCTACCAAATTGATCCTTTGGCACCGGACAGCATTCAGTATAGCTCAGAAAGATAGAAAGCAGACTCTCACCATGAACATTTTGAGTGTCCTGGTTCGAATCCACCTGTTGTCACACTTTAATTTTTTTTCAAATTTTCACCTGTATAAACACGAATTCAATTTTTTATACAGGCTTTTGCATTTTACTTCTATTTTCTTCCTTAAATGTATGTTTGCTGTTGATATAAAAGACATTTATGGAAATACAGATCATAAATTCTCTTAAATAACTAAACGCAGTCAACCGGAACTATACCTCAGTGTAAGCACACTTTGTTCGAGGACACGAATCATTCACTTTGTGTTACTCGATACTGCAGGTATCACGAAAAAAAAAAAACATGCCGAGTAAAAATTGCTGCGTTTGTCTTTCAAGAACATTTCTGGGTAATAGTACTGGTGTGTCAGTGGGAGAGATACTGTGCAATGCAGAGTAGATGTAGTTCATTCCTCGGGAAAATTGTGTGTATTGGCGACATGTTATGCCAAAAATGCAGGAGGAAGGTTTACAGATTAGAAAAAGAATGTGGAAAGGTCGGTTAAGGTTTAATGTCCCGTTGCCATTACCCAGGCATCAAGTAAGGACCCTCATACAAAGGATGTATCAGTAATTACCGAGGTAGGGTCATATGAACACACAGTTGACTACAACTAAAGTGATACATGAGAAACAAGTAACTACGCGCATGGCCTAAAGTCAGCGACCGGAACGGATATCGATAAGTTTTTTCTAAAGACTGGAATCAATATCAGCCCTTATAGGTCAACACATATATTTACCTACATGTAGAAGTGATTCTTTAAATGTAACTTGAATTATCCAAGAACTATTTTTAATTTTCTCGAATGGCCGCTGGGGCTATCCTGGTTTCGGCCTACCCATAACACTCCGTACAGAAGTGCGGAGCATTATCAGTATGTCGGAACAAGGCTAGTCCGGGTCAAAATAGAAACTTCCGATTTTTAAGATTATATTTACTTTCGCATAGAAATAGCACTTTCCAAAAAGGTAATAAATATTTCTAGTAAGCACATAGTGTTAGATATCGGAATAACTCAAAACATTATTTTGTCAATGTCACATTTTCCAAAAAACACGTAAAACATCGGTTTGATACTGCCTACCCATTTTAGCAGTTTGGAAATCAAAAACCAAGTTTTATACATACAAAGCAAGAAAATTCTACATTTTTTTTTTCTTTTTAAATATAATCTGTAGCAATAATAATATTTATTTTCAGAACATATGATTATTTGACTTTTACCTCATAACATTCACGTTATGAAAAGTTAGACCCGAACCTGGCATCATTGTGTTTCTTGTCAAACGTAAAATATAAGCTAAATTAATATAATAATGGTATAATTCAATTTTTGGGAAAAATATGAAATACGCCCGACATCAAATATTAAGAATATTAAGCTTATTTTCCCCAATAAAATTAAAATGAAACAAAAACATTCATCTAAGAAATTATTGCTTAATAGTAGATTTAGGGATTATATTTGCTTATCCATTTAAAATACTGCATGCATGGAAAAAGATTGGGAAGATCTCTTAAGAGACGCATAATCTTAGATATATTGTACTGCAAAACATGAACATCAAATGTACCTTATTATATTATAAAATATCTTCAAAACAAAACAAAAAAAAAAAACAAAAACAAAAAAACTGTCTTATCCGACATGCATTGGGAGACAAATTTTGTGTTGGAAGAGTCAAGATATAGGATTGCACAGTGTAAAAATCATGAATTTTAACATTAGTAGAATTGAGAATGAAATTCAATGTCCGAATTCGCGGATTATATGGGTGTCGGGTTACACAGTTTCCACTGTAGTATGTTTTATAATAAAGAAATCTTTATCTTAATTATCCCTCCAGACACCTTTATGTGGCAATGTTCGTAAAAAAGAACGAGATATTTCTGTTTTCAAATTTTTTACAACACACATAATGTACGGCTTTAATGGGTACATTCGGTAAAGAAAATCGACAATCTCTTATTGTTTCAGGAAACCTCTTCAAAACATAATTCTTTACAAGTGTTCTCACTAGATACATTATAAATTATGATTTAAAAAAAAAGAATGAAAAAAATCCAATGATGAAGATAAATTTAAAATTGTCTCTTTTAAGAGAAATATTTCGCCGACTGATGGGTTGTCGTCAATTTGACGTCTTTCAATTTAAAATACCCATCTGTTGAAAATAAAAGAAAAAGAATTAAAAGAATTTTAAGAAATGTTTCCAAAAAAGCGCACTTTATATAACTCTCACAAAGTCTCTTTTAACAATTAAAAATAATCATAAAATTGTCTCTTTTGAAGTGTTTCATCTGATTGGTCGATTTTCCTCAATTTACGATTTCTTCTTCATTAGATATTGATCTGTTGAAAATAAAAGAAAAAGAATTAAATAATGTTTCAGAGAAATAAAAGTGAACTTTTTTATAAATCATCCGAATTCTCTTATAACTGTTTTATACCTCTTATTCAATTTTCTATTACCCGTCTTAAATGTACATGTATAATGAAATACCCAAAAAGAAAAATAGTGGTTATTAAAATTTAATGTTGTGTACCTAGTGACGTTTAACCATCATCACTGTCTCCCTCACAGATGTCCCCTTCAATACTGTAGTGAACCAAGGCCAAATCCAGTCTGCAGAGGCCCATTGTCCATTAAGGAAAGCGATGTTACATTTGTCAAACCACCAGCCTCCTTTTCGTCCGTTAGAGGCAGCAGAGTTACCTCCACTGCTCCTGTCGTTATCCCTGTCTGGGGTACTAAAGTACATCCCTGACAGATTATAGATAGAATAACCAGTGTTAAGCATCATGTCACTTGTAGAATTAGAGAAAATATATCACAGAGATATGTATTTTATATCATTTTAATCTTATTCTTAATACTGAAGTACGTCTAAGATAGTCGGCTTCTATGCTGCCTCCTGTAAAGATAGAGAATATTTTAAAAAAAACATACAATACAAGAATAGACTGCACAATTCAAATAGATTCTTTTCTTAATGTAACAATAAACCCAAGGCGTGTTATACTTTTAAAGTATGACTAAAGAACAAAATAAGTTTTGGTAAAGTTCAACAACTTAATGATACTAAGAAAAGACGTAAATGATAGTATATTTGATTTGAAACCAATTTTAAGAACTTAGGTTGAATAAAAATACTAATAAAGTCTATCAGGTACTCAGAAATAAGTGAAAAAAAAAATCATTAATCATTTTGAAAGTCACATTAAACATTTCAAAATGAGAGCAGAGAAAGCACAGGGATAGGGGGGGAGGGGGGGCATCCTTTGTTAACCGGTCACATCCGAAGTAAGATTATTACCATGATTAAGTAGAAATTCATTCCGTAGAGAATTTGGTATCAAATAATGACCAAACTGTCGGTATGAGAATTGCTCAATCAAAGGACACAAAGCTTTTGCTATCAATCATTGCATGGACCATCAAAATTGCTAAACAAGCTGTGACTTACCTTATTAAATTGCTTAATTTAATTTTTGTTAGTATGTTGAAAAAATACTCTTGATGGATTGAACAAAAAGACATATAAGTGGTTTTTGATATTATAACATGTATCAACAAATATATTTTAGTCGTTATTGCAACCATAAATCATCTTTCTCTCCTCCTTCCTTTTCTCTCCCTTCTCTCTCATTTCTTTCTCGTTCTATCTACCACATACCTAGGGTTCCAGTAGCAGGTCCTGCAAGAAAGAGTTGATATTTCTCTGTTTCATTGGAGACCGAAAATCCATTGTACAATTCATGCAGCCTTGTACCATTCTGTACAGTTATGGAGATATACAGAGATGAGTTCTTTTCGTTTGTTAACAGATGTATTACGTCATTTCCTGCATTAAGATATATTTGAAATCAACTGAAAAAGTTCATTGCAAAACAATTAAGTCTAATTTGAATATAATAATATTTTAATGAACAACTTTTTGTTTTACTAAGCAATAGTACATGTTGGTACTTTGAACGACCGTGCATCTAAATGATGTTTCCCTTTTGCTATCTTTAATTTTCCAATCGATTTATTTTACAACTCAGTAAAACAAAGTAAGTGAATATCGTCGAGTACACATTACCAAGTCTTAAATGAACAAGACCTGTTTCTAAAACACAGACGCCCCCGTATTGCAGTTTATGGCGAAGGTTATAATTTCTTATTTGCATGTCAAACTGCAAGGTCAAGGTCTATAGAACAAAATTGTTGGTACGAAAAAAAGTCTTGTGACAATAATTATACCTGTGAAATATAAAAGCCCAAGTAATAACTGTTTGATATATATGGCAAAACATAAAGATCAAACTCCAATGCCAAAGTGTCAAAATTAATGGTGCCACGAAATGATCTTGTCCCAAAAAATATACAGGTAAAATATTTAAGTCATAGAATCGATTCAACCATTCAAATGTTATGGCCAAAGGTTTTCAAAAGTCAGTCAACTTCAAATCGTCACAAGTGTAAATACTCAACGAAAGCTCCTGTCAAAAGAAATAAACATGTGAAAAACTAAAGTCCTTGATCAAACCATTCAAAAGTTATGACCAATGTTAAGGTTTTGCAAAAGTAAGGCTAAATCATAAGGTCAATGTCAAAAGGTCAAATGTTTTTGAATCTTGTCTTGTCCAAGAAATGAACATATGGAGTATGAAATCCTTTGCTATAGCCGTTCAAAAGCTAAAGCTAAGGTTAAAATTTGGTAAAATTTTCTATAGGTGGGTTGGATTTTAAGGTCGAGGACAAATAGTCAAAATATTTGTACCCGCCAAATCTTTTCACAACCAATTAAAAGTTTTTGACAAAGTTAATTTTTTGCGTCAAACAAACACAGATAACCAGACAAACAAAAATGCAGACAGGCGAAGGGACGGAGCAAAAATAATATATCCTTAATCTCCTATGACGGGGGATACATGGTGAAAATAACGAGCATCGATCAATTTTAAAAATTCGTTAAGTAATACATTCTCCTTGATATGTTTAAAAATTATGAATTGTCAAAACAAAGATTTTTTTATTTATTTTTTTTTTATTAAGGATGGTAGTCCCATTTTAATTGTATATACACCTACCAACCCAGTAATTATGTTCCGCTGCACCAAAACCATTCTTGTATTCCGACCAATTCCTATCAAAGTTCACGAATCCACCTACCCGTTTCTGAATTGCCTTTAAAGATAAACATGTATGCTGATTCAATCGCCATTGTATATAACATCTGTATGATCAGTGTACAGCATAGGCTATTTTTTTTTTAATTCTACAATCCTTCGAACACCAAAGGCACTGAATTATATAATATCCCTTAATTTTGAAATAAACTTCATACCGTCCATCCTCCGTCCATTGTCTCCAGGTCGCAGTAAACTCTGACAGGACTGGTCCCGAAGGGAGAAATTTTGTATACACCAGCAGGCATGTTTACGAAAATTTCCTAAGACTGTTCCTAAGAAATTTCCTAAGACATATCTTAGGAAAATTTTAAGATCATCCTAAGATTTTCTTAAAGTGTTTTTCAAAGCTATCTTAAGAGTATCCTAAACTAAGACGTCTTAAATCATTATGACATAGAAATACGCAAAGTTTTAAACCATTGTCAGGAATCAGAGAGTGGTCATTTTTGGCATGTAATGCTACACGTTATGTAGCTAATAATAATAAAAATATTTTAAAGAGTAAAAATTAAAAAAAAACTAATTTAAACATTTTTTTTAAATCTATAAATATAAATAATATATATATTTTTTTAAATAATCATCTTAATTCGACGATAATATTGGTTGTTATTAAAATCAAATAGAGTTCTATTTGATCATTCAGAATTCTTGAACCATGAAAAGCGCGCCAATTTTCTCCGTGGAACTCTTATTCATTGACAATTTCTGGTTCGACAAGAAAACACCCAGTAGGATGAGTCGAAAGAGGAGTCCTAATTTTTTCTCAAATTGAAATCGAAATACTGCTTGATTAGGTGGAGAAAAACAGAGCCATTTTATTTTTAAAGTTTCCCAACGTATCTACAAATTCTTCAAAGAAAAGAGCATGGGAGGCAATATGTGAGAAAATCAACAAGGCAAATAACATCGACCACTGTCTGACTGTAGGACAGTAGAAGAAGTGAAAAAGAAATGGTCCTCTTATATGAGTGAGACGAAAAAGAAGGCTGCGCAAAATCGCAGGGAAACAGGAAAAACTGGAGGAGGCCCCCCACCCCAGGGACTAAATCCTACGCAGGAAAAAATTGTGGGAATAATTGGTTGTACTCCAGTTTCTGGCATAGAGAGCGGTATCGACACCTGCGAGGTCACCGAAAAAAAACGGTACAGTAATGCGTAAACTCTCTCTCTCTCTCATGTTAAGTGAGATTCAATAGTTTTATTTTGTTAACAGGTTACATCTTACTATATTTGTTGTGCATCCGTGTGAAGCACTGAATATCGGAAGAGTTCTAACCATGGGTATTTTTGGAAAGTAGATGCATGCAGGCACGTAACATCGGGTGGAAGGGGTCCAAACATAACTTTTTTTTACATTGCACCATTTAAAATGTTCATTGAAAGACCGGCCCCCCTCCCTCCCCACTTTTTGGTGCAGTATAGTAAAAAGGGTAATGCATTAGTGAATAAATATTGACACTGAAAGAAGTTGGAACCTACCCCTCCACCCCCCCCCCCCACCCCCCCATGAAATAGGATTTTCGAGTTAGAAAAATTTTCTTTTTTTCCTTGTCAAGTTTTTCTCTGGTAAGTTGAATTTTTTTTGCCCCCCCCCCCTCCCTTTCAAAAACGATGCTACGTTCCTTGCATGTACAAATGCAGTACACGTATAACTGTGTATTAATTAAACATCTGTAGAAACCACATGATATAAATACAATTTTAAAAAATCCATAATTTTTTTTGTCTCTGTTTTTTTTAGATATATTGAGCGTTGAGCCTGCATGTTCAAGTGACAGTACATGTGCTAGTATTGCGCCGCAATGTGGTTTACCAGTTTCACGCGACGTGTCCGTTGAATCCGGACCCTCAAAGAAGAGGAAAAGGGAAAAAGATAGTGAAGATTTTTATGAAAACAAGTTATTGAGCATTGAGGAGGAAAAGCTTTCAATCATGAGACAGATGCTGGAGATTGAAAAGGAACGTTTGGAGTTAGACAGACAGAGACTTACTATAGAGACACAGCGTCATCAAGTGTACTTAGCCAAGCATTGTGTTACTTTTGAAGGAAGTAATATATGATTTGTACAAATACCTACATGACAGTAAATGATTCCTTATGGTTCTTTAAAGTTATTTTTGTAATTGATTTACTGGTACGTTCATCATTTGAAAGAAAATACACACAGACTCAACCCAGAGAGAGAGAGAGAGAGAGAGGGAGAGAGAGAGATTTTGACTCGCATACTCCTATATCACATTGATAACAACAAGAAATACTAGTGCCTTTCTTTTAATTGTAATACATGTAATTAAATTATTCCTCTTGATGCGAGTCCATTGCACAAGTGTCTGAGAGAGCCACGAATGACAACTCTGCATATAAAATTGAGGGCGGGGGGGGGGGGGGGGTTAGAGAAATATATAACTTTTTTAAATGAAGACAAATAGTCTCCAATGAAAAGAAATATCATTTATTAGTCATAACTGTATTACATTTGCTTTGATAATTGCATCAAAAAAAAAAAAAGAAACTTCTAGTGGTAATTTTTACAGCTGCTTCTCCTAGAAAAACGTCCTGTGATAAGACGACCTCTGATTCGAGCACCGTCATTATTAACGGTCCCTGCATAATCAGTCCCTCGAATTCTTCTCGTGGATCTGGGTCTGGAAGGAGTATACGGCGAGAAATACACATGCTGTGCAACACTACACAGGCTACCGTGATATCGCATGCTTTCTGAGGGGAATATAGAAGACTTCCACCGCTTGCGTCTAGACAGCGGAAGCGTGATTTTAAAACCCCAAAAGATCTTTCAACAGAATTGCGGGTGCGGATATGGACAGTGTTGTAACGCTCTTCTACATTTGTTGATGGATTACTACTGGTGTAAGTAACCAAGGACGCAGTGGATAACCGCTGTCCCCCAGTAACCATCCTTCTGCAATCCTTCCTGTTTCAATAAACGATTCAAAGCAGAATTTGACCAAATAAACGCATCATGTGTTCCGCCGGGCCATTTTGCCACAATGTTAATAAATTTTAAGTTGGCATCACAAACCCCTTGGACATTAATTGAATGGTAATTTTTGCGATTTATGTATAAATGTTCATCAACGTTTGGAGATTTAATCCTAATGTGTGTTCCATCAATACACCCAATGGTATTTGGCATATTTGCAATTAAACTGAATTCATTCATGTTTTTGGCCAATTCATTTGAAGTAATAGGCATTCTTATGTGTATATTGGCCACATTAACAAGACACTGGGTCATATCTTTCACTAGTTTGCACACACTCGGTCTTGAAATGTTATGCACATCACCAACAACTGCTTGGAAACTGCCAGTTGCATAAAGTCGTAATGCAACCATTACCTGCAGTGAGACAGGTAATGCATAAGATCTCATAGTAGGACATTGTAGTTCATTTTGAAATTGTTCACATAAATCATGGATTAAGGGTCTTGAAAGCCTATACCTTCTTATTATAGCTTCATCATCAAGGTAGTCAAGAGGGTTATCAATATTTCTAAATACTCTGTCACGTCTGATACGACGATTTCGTCGAGCCAGCAACAACATGGACGCGGCCATTTTTGCTTAAGATAGACTTAAGATATGTCAAAAGCTGTCCTAACTTTAAGATAATTCTTAAGAACTTTCTTAAGTTAGGATACTTTCGAAAACCCCACTTAGACTTAAGAATTGTCCTAAGTATATCTTAAGACGTTTCTTAGTCCTAAGATAGCTTCGTAAACATGCCTGCTGATTTAGTGTGACCATTTTCACGAATTTCCTTACAATCTATAGGGAACACTGAAACAGAAAAAAATAACCATACCAACTAACTCATAGGGTTACATTTCGTACATCTGATTCTTTTTAACCATTTTCACGATATTTCTTTCACTTAATAGGAATACCTGAAGGACAGAAAAAAAAATGTTCAACTCCAAAGTGCATTTTGATGCATATGGACCATTTTGTATGAAAGGATTAAAACCGACTAACTCAGGTAATCACGGAGGTAATATTGAGAAAGGTAAAGATAATGAAGAGAGATAGATCTCAAAGAAATCTATAAAATATACAAATCTTTGAAGACACAGATACCTTGAAATTTCAGAGGCAGAATCGTGCCTAGGAGGAGTAAGCATCCCCCAATGACCTGGCACACCCACACATCTCCAATTAGCCAGCCTCGTTTTAAAAATTGGAGCATGCTCTTGAATTGTAAAAAAGTTGGGGGGGGGGATATAAGCTCCATATGCAAGTAATAACGGAATATTACTACTTAAATAAGGAAAGTTGGCGATGGAAAACTGAAGTCATCTCGTTTGTCATACAATTTAGTTGTTAGTTGGCCTTTGTCGTCTAGAATCAGAAAACATCTAAATAAAAACAGATATTGCAAACACTGTGAGGTCTTTTATATCAAATTCACTGGTATAGATATGGAGTCGACATATGAATGGAAGTAACTATTGATTAACCATTAATTGATAATACATCGTCGACATATCTAAATATTGAGTTGAAGGCCTAAAAATGTGTTTTGTCTACTCACATAGAGGTTTTTGAATTAATTATGCTTCATGGAAAATAATACACGTCGGAAAATTTCGGAGAGCAATTAGCGCGTATAGGAAATTTAACAGTTAGTTCGAAAATCTGGTCTCCGAAGACTACAAAAATATTGTGAGTGGGAAACTCCAGCATCCTTTAATATCAACTTCAGAGTACTAGTGTGTAGTATTAGAGTTTAACCAAAATAATTAAACTGCGCCGATATATTTATTGACTTTAGGCTTTGGAAGAAGGTTACTTTGTTATATACCGATCCAGATGGTCTTTTTCTTTTTTAAATTTCACATTTTGGTGGCTCTTTAAAATATATCTTTCATATACTGCAGGTCACCAAATATTCGCGAGACGTTATTTCCTCGAGATTGCCATTTGGTCTTTATAAGAGGGACATAATTGTCACAAAGTAAATGCTATATAATCTTCACTTAAACAAATAAATGCAAGAATGAAATTCCCGCGAGCAGATGGTCTCGAGTAATTACATGAAAATAAAGTTCTCGCAAGTAAAACAAAATTTACAGTATTTGAATAAAAAGAAATCGCCAGGATAGAAATACAAACATAGGAAAATATGATAATTCGGGGCCTTTTTCAAGGAATTCACATAGGGTTCTTTAGTAAAATTTGAAAATTTTTTGAGATGGTCCCCTAAAAAATTGGAATGATAAACATTCTAATATTTAATCTTAAAACGATTAATATAATAGTAAAAATTTATACAAAAAAATTCTCAAAAGATCTGGGTTAGACAAAATTAGACCCGGCCTCGTATGGGGAATATCAAAGTGTACAAAAATTGTTTTTATATATCATTCTTAACGAACAATAAAAAAAAAATATTTACTTATACATGAATTTTATGACATTATTCTAGAAAATATTTAAGGAAAATGAGCATTGAAAAATTTCTTCAATATATATGCGAAAGGTGCAATCAAAAGTAATGCTTGGAATGGTATGCGTGTGTTTGTGTACGTGAGTGTGCATGTGCGAGAGAGAGAGAGAGAGAGAGAGAGAGAGAGAGAGAGGGGGGGGGGTTATACATACGAAGAGAATAATATCTCCATCTGTCCTAGTCAGGCATTCCGGAAGCGGAAGTTAAGCTCTTCTTGTGAGCACGACATTTCTTCAGCTTAGAATTGTACCCATAGAAGTCACATTCATTCTGACACATAGCGGAACACTCACACAACGAGTGAGCAGTGTACTCTCCTAAAAGTTCGCCACTTGACTTCTTATTATCAAATTCCGGTTTGGCGTTATAGTTCTTTGAAACATTGGTAGCTTGGGACAGCCTAAAAAGGACAACGACGAAACAGGAAACTCAGAGACTGGTCATATTGCACTGTTTCTTTACCAATAACGACTACCTTTCTCTTCGAATTAATAAATTTATTTGGTTTAAATAACACGACCATTATCTTTAAAGAAAGATGATTGGCAAGCAAATTATGTTTTCTGTTTTTTCCACTCGCTTTAATATTTATTTTGTCGACGAAGGTGATTGGACCTCGCTTCAACATGAATGACGAGATGTGACGTTGAGCTAAATATTGAACAAAAAATTGAATATTCATAGCATGATAAGATTACAAACGATTTCTTTTCCAAAGTAATTGCTGGCTTTGTATAGTGTTATATAGTGTAGTTAAGGCATTTACATGCATTAAAATGATAAAGAAGGACTAGAATGTTATGTAAGAAATTAATAATGATCTTGTCATCAAAAATAACCTTTTATTAGGTCGTTTTTGACTAACGTGTTTCATACATTTGTTAGGCCTTTTTTTAATTTGAGTACGGAATGTCCCGTCTACCCGATCAAATGTTGTGTTCTTTTTATTGGAAAGAAAGAAATATTTCTGTAAAATTCAAACCAGACCTCGGATCGACACCATATTTGGTACAAATGTAGTATAGACCTCAGAAAAACTTTCTTGAGAGTTTTACGGTGAGTCTTTTAAGTTTATACAAGTCATGAAGTTTCACGGCAAAAACTACAAGTTCTGTTTTGTTTGAAATTAAAGTGCAGGTGAATGAAGAAATGATCTAAACCTTTTATCGGCTATTTCTTCAGATGTCGTTAGTAGCATTCGATTTTCCTGATATGATACGACATTTTAATACCAAGCATTCTCTCTTTCTTTTACATTTGGAATTTATTTGATTTTTATTTAGAATTAATCAGTTTCCAGAAATAGCGATTTTCGGTATATTAAAAACAATTCTCGCTTTCATTGTCGTGTTTCCCTTCTAAAAATGCATGTTGGGAGTTTAATTTGTGCTACACATATTTAATTTAACCCAAAGAAATGCTTATTTAAATGTTTCGTATTTATTTCAGGATATTCAGTCAGAAATGTTAAAATCCGAACCCGATCTTTTAAGCTTACATGTACAACAAAGCTATTTTCAAAAAAAATCAGCATGCTAACAATATCGATGAACCGGGCTACAGTCCATTAATACATTTTCATTTGGCAACAGTGTTAACGTTTTCTCACGCAGCCCGTCCCTTTTTATTAAGGTCTTCCGACATCCTTCGGAAGACCTTACTGTTTTCCGTCTGTTTTCTATTATCATTATTATTCTTTTTTCATAGTAATGGCGATATCTCAGCTGTGAGTAAGCAGATTTCAGAGATTTTTTCAGGGAAGATGCATCATGTAAATATCTCCAGACGTGTTTTTCATTTTTTCAAAATTCACTTCCGTTCGCGATTTTTGGGGAAATTTGTATTTTTTAAATGACATTTTGTCCAGAATCTTTCTCGAGAACGGCTAAAGATATGAAATTGAAACTCAATGAATAGATAGAACATTAAATTCCAATATGGGGCACGACCTTTATTTTTCGTCGTCGGCACTTCCGGTCGCAAACAGAAGTGAATTCAAAAAGTCTAATTTTTCAACTTTTTTGTTTTTCAATACTTTTCTTTGGGATTTACAGGGTTTATAGAGTGTCTTACAGGAATTCTAAATATGTATTCAATATTTTAATGCGTGCATTTATTGCAAAGATATGACCGATCCAAACTTTGTCCCACTATCTGGGGTTTGAATCCTGCTGGAAGCAGTTATTTTTTTTTTTCTTCTCTTTTTTCAGTTGCTAACTAAATTCACTGAATGTAAATATGTTTTATATATATATATATATATATATATATATATATATATATATATATATATATATATATATATATATATATATATATATATATTAAAGATCTTTTTTTCTATTGAATGCAGGTTCACCTCAAGCTAAGGTAACACTTGAAATTTTTAGGAAAAAAAATATTTAAGATTCATAGTTTGATTTAGTGTGATTAAAGAAAAGCAGAATAGTTAAAAATCTCATTTATAAACACAAAGGTACATTACTTCTTCTTAAAGTGTTATGCTCCATCTCAGCGAGGAATATGTTGCGACCATTGACATGATCGATTAATTAACACATCGTTGTTCATTTAGACGAAATTAACAGCGTGTATTACATTTATATGACTATAATTATATAGTCGGTGTGGAAATAAAATGAATGTGCAGACTTTTCCAGTGCTGACACCAGCTTCCAGCTTGGGAGCATTAAAACCACCTGTAAGAATAATTTCTTTGAGACAATATCCTATTGCTCTCATTAGGTCTTTTTCACCAACAGGAGAGTTCACTGGTTGCCGATGTGCGGACAAATTAGAACCACATGCGTGTTACCTAACTCAAAGAAATTTCTTTACACACTCCAAAGTATCTGTACATTATTCTGTATTCACTAATAATATAATTTTTTGGAATGTTTTTTATGTTATATTTTACTTTTTATAAAGTTATTATGTTACATTTTAAAACCATTTAAAACCAACATTTCAGAATGAGAAACACAAAAGTATGTATCCTCTTCGTATTCAAGATAAGTCAATCTCTGATGCATCAACTTAAGCTTTGGCGAATTCTATAAGTATACTTTATTTTGCTTGATGAATGGAAATTTATCACAATAGGTGTGTTTTC